TTAAAAATGTTTTTTTTCATGGTGAGCTGAAAGAGGATATCTACATGGAGCAAACTTTCGATTTGTTACTGAGGTGGGAGTTTTGTCTAGTTTATAAATTGCAACGATCTCTTATGGTCTCAAACAATCTCCTCGAGTTTGGTTTGGGAAATTTGGCCATGTGATGCAGGACTTTGGTTTGAAACAAAGTGAAGAACATTATTCATTTTTTTATTGTTATCCTTCTTACGGAAGATGTGTTTATTTAGTTGTCTATGTTGATGACTTTGTGATTAATGGAATGATGTTGCTATAATTTCCTAGCTAAAAACACACTTATTTAGTTACTTTCAGATCAAAGACCTTGGTTAACTGAAATACTTCCTTGGTATTGAAGTGGCTCAATCAAAGGAAGGCATTGTGATCTCACAAAGGAAGTATTCTTTTGATATTTTGAAAGAAACATGGACTGATTGTAGGCCCATTGACAGACATATGCATCCTAATCAAAATTTAATGGCTGCTCGAAGTGAACCATTCACAGATCTTGAGAGATATAGAAAACTGGTGGGGAAGCTTATTTTTCTTACAATCACAAGACCTGATCTTTCTTTTGTTGTGGGGATTGTCAGTCAATTTATGCAAGCCCCTCATATTGATAACTAGAATGCTGTTTTATGCATTCTTAGATATATCAAATAGGTTCCTGGGCAAGGAAACAACGTTTCTAGATAGTGTGATGCTGATTGGGCATGTTGTCCTATAATTAGATGCTCTACTACAAGATATTGCACATCTATTGCTGGGAATCTCTTAGAAGAGCAAGAAACAAAATGTTGTGGCTTGATCCAGTGCAGAAACAGAATATCAAGCTATGGATTTAGTTACTTGTGTGGATTAAACAACTCCTCCAAGAGTTGAGAATCTGTGAAGGTCAATGTTTCGTGAGAGGACTAAACATAGAGATCGTCTGCCATTTTGTTCAAGAGAAGCTGCTGTCAAGAAGATTAGCAATGAATTTATCCACTCCAATGATTAACTTGTAGATCTGTTGACTAAATCTTTGAGAGGACCTAAGATTCAGTTCATAATTCATATATTCCAAGCTTGGTGCATACAATTTATATGCTCCGATTAAGGGGGAGTGTTAAATTAGATTTTCTATTATCTATAGTTCAGGTTTTAAAATCTCTCTTTTTGGCTGTATCTAGCTGCACTGATAGGAGTCGCTGTCTTTTCTTCTTTCTGACTTCACTTCTGTATTATATCCTTACCACTCATTTATATATACAAGTAATACATCAGTGGGCTTCTAACTCATTGTTTTTTTTCTAAAAAGTCAACTACTCAATTAATAGAATAAACTCCATGTAGTAGAGATGAGAATGTTGCATTGGATGAGTGAACATATCAAACAAGATAAGATTAGGAATGAATGCATTAGAGAGAAGTTTGGGGTAGTACCTATGGTAGAAAAAAATATGATAAAAGCTTGGTTTATGTGGTTTGGACATGTGATGAGAAGACTTGTAGAAATAATAGATTAGATTGAAGGTGACCTAATTGCCAAAGGTAGAGGAAAACCAGAAATAACTATAGATGAAATTATTAGCAAGGGTTTAAAAATCAAAAATAGTTTTTTTTATAGAGCTTATTTACAAAAGAACATTATGGTGTCATTTAATTCATGTTGCCATCCCCATCTAGTGGAAAATGGTTAGGTTGCTGCTTTGATCCCTAGTTCACTTGTGCCAGAACACTTGAGGGAAACTGTACCCATTGTGTACAGGTAATAATGAAGAGACTCACGTTCCCTGAATATTGTTACCAAATGAGCCAAATAACAAATATCACATTTGCAAGATTCTTATGCCACCAAATCAAACAAATAAGGAAGAATAGCTATCAGAAATTTAGAATAGAAATTGCAAGAACGAAGAAAGAATACAGCAAGAACATCAATAGCACAGAGATGATTCAGTTATGATGAGATCTAAAATTTCAGGTTTTGCTTACCATTCATATGGGTTCCCCAATTAAAAGAAAGTCTTAGTCTTCAAAAGCCAAACTAATTTTCTAAATCTATAATCTATCATGCGATAATGATGTAATTATAATCTAAACTTCTTATTGGTCCCAGCTTGGTCCTTAAAAAAATCAACTGAAGTCTACATTACTTCAAGTATTGAGAGACTAGTCAGTCTTTCTATATAACCCTTACTCGTCTTGTTCCATGGTTTCATTAATTAATTATGGTATGTTTCTATTCAATCAATTAAATAAGCTCATACATAGAATGATCAATTCTCAACATATCAATAAAATAGAATAAATTTCTATTAAAAAACAAGGTTAAAATATTTTAAAATAAGTTGAAAATCATAGTTAAAGTGCAAGATCCATCATCAGCTTTGGCCGAGGGACTTAATTACACTTGATAAAAAAAAAAGAAACAGAAGCCAATTGAAAGCAAGTTCCATGGAAATTCATGAAAAAGAAGGATGAATCAATAAACAAAACCCCTTCCTCAAGAATATTGGTCTCGCAAACTTGACACAGGTATCTCATCTGCTGCTAGTTGCTACTGTGCCTGTCCTTTATTTGGTGGCTTGATGAAGGCCAAGAAATATCGCTATGTTAGCCTGCAAAAATGTTGCACAGCCAGGTATATCTGTGACATCAAGTTGTGCACATTCTTGTAAGGGTCTACCTCTTGGAATGGTCATGTGTACTTCTTGCATGGGTGGCAATGCTTTCAAATTTTAAAATTCCAAAATTTTCAGCTAAATTTCCTTGAAAACGGCTTGTTTTTTCTAAGATCTTGCATGTGCTATCTATTCCAGCAACTTTGCAATAAATAAGTGAATTTGCTATGATCTTCCATCTGCCAGCTATTCCATTATTGCTTACATCCTAATCGGCTAATCCTTCTGCCAGACCTCTTGAAGCACATTTGACTCTCTTTCTTCAATTCCCTTATCTTGATCAATCCCACCTACAGTAACTATACTTTTTGTTTTCCTCTGAAAAGTTATTTGCTCCACTCCCTGTCTGCATTGAATGTATTATTTTGATTCACCAATTCTGTCGTCACCCTATTATACTTTTGGCACCTTTTTATCCTGTCTATTTCAAATATTACCGATAAGGCTTTATGCCATTGTGGGTTGAGAAAACAATGGTGGATTGGATGAAATGATTGCTTTGCATTCTAGTGGCATTTGCTGGCTTGTTTTTTTGTCTTTTGCCAAATATACATGTTGGTAAAGTGGCTAGTTGATTAGCTCAAAGTAAGGTTGGTAGTTAATTGGTAGGCATAGATGTATGAGTTGGATTATGGTGACACATTATGACCTATGGGTGAAATTGTTTCAGTTCATGCCTTTCTCTTTATGGATATTATAAGCCATTGTCTACGTGAACAACTTGTTATAGTTATTGTTGGAAATAGGAGGATTTAATTTTTATTACCCTTCAAGTAGTGTAGTTAATGTTTAGCTCAGTTCAATGCATCTTGGGGAGTAGTGATATTTTAATTGTTCTCTTGAAAATAGCTGTGGTCATTTATTGTCTTTGTAACCAATGTTATTCTAAATAAATCAATTTGCTGAGTGGAAAAATCGCTCAAGCACATTAAAAATTGCCCTTCTGATTGTTCACATGGTATCAGAGCTTATCCTAGATCCATTAATGGACCTCCCACTATATTATCCACATTCACGCACTAAGCCCAAGTGTGCGGAGTGTGAGGGATAAGTTAACAACATGTGAGATGGAGTTGGGAAAATTTAAGTACTCTCTTGGGATAGAAATAGAATTTGCTTATTCTTGGCAAGGTATCTTTATCTCCCAAAGAAAGTATGTACTTTACCTTCTCGAAGAGATTAACAAATTGAGGTGTAAAACATTTGGGTTCCCATTGAGAAGATCAGAAGTGATGAAGAAAGCCCAACTATAAAGAAGTCCCCACCCAATACTACAGATTGGTGGCAAAGCTTATCTATTTATCCTACACTATTGTAGACATTGCTTATGCTTTAAGTGTATTCAGTCAATTCATGCATGATCCTCAAGAGAGACACCTATAGGCAGTGGACAAAATCCTTCAATATTTGAAGGCAAGTCTAGGAAGAGGATTCTTATTCAAAAGAAAAGGCACCCTATCCATAAAAGTGTATACAAATGCAGACTGTTCCTAATCTGTTGCTGGTAGAAGATCCACCTCAGGTTACTGCATGTTTTGGGAGGAAATTTGTTGACTTGGAGGAGTAAAAAGCAAAATGTAGTTGCCTGACCTTGTGCACAAGTGGGGTTTCGAACTATGGCATATGGCATCTCTGAGGTATTACTATGAAAATCATATTTGATGACCTAAATATAACGAAAGTATGAGGACCCTATTAAGCTGTTTTGTGATAATAATTCTTCTATTAGTATTGCACACAATCCTGTATACCATGATAGAGCCAAACATAGAAATTGACAGAATTTCATCAAAGAGAAGCTGTACAACGATCTTATAGCAATATCCAAACCCCAATTGGCAGATGTATTTATTAAGGGATGCCTTATAGAGAGAATTCAAGAACTTATGTGTAAGTTGAGAATGATTGATATCCATTCTCCAACTTTAGGGGGAGTGTTAGCAATATGATTGATATTCATATAGGGAAGGATGTATGATTAATGAAGCTTGTATAACTTCAACAGTTATTTTGTGAAGGATGTTTAGACATTACACTTAGTTTAACAGTTGGATCATACAATTTGTGAGGGAGGTGGGGTATATGCGAATGAGTAGTTAATAATGTAGCTTTGTAGAACATGTGCCTGGACCTTGGATTGTTACTTACAGCATGATCAGAATCCAAAATTGAAACATGATTGATTATTGCGACCTTTATGTGATGTAATTATTACCATGTAGAATTTATAGAACAACGATATAAAATATCTTTGTGCAGATTCATGTAATGGGTTTCACATTTCCTATGTAACTAAACTGACTGCTCTTTGTATAGGCTTTTTGCGGCCATGGGAGCAACCTCCATCACAGGATTATCAGAAACACTTTTGATCTATGGTCACTCGGTCCTCTCAGGAGTCATTATATAGTGGTATGTATCGTACTAGTCAACATGGTTCTGTGTTAGTACTAGCTTTATACTAAGATGAAATGCTGCTTTTTTTTTTCATTTTTATAAATTGTCTCCTGTTTAGAATATGTATTATGTAAGATGAAGTTTATCTTGTCTAATGTTCTTCTATTTCTTTTTAGTGCCTCTGCATCACTACTAGGATAATTAGAGGAGAATTGTGTCGAAATGATGCAGAATTGTAAAATGTCCCATTGTAACAAATTTGCGTATGTATTTGGCCATCGTTGAACAGAATGGCTTTGGATTGACATTCTATTTGGCCATCGTTGAACAGAATGGCTTTGGATTGACATTATAGTTTAGTTCTTTTATAAATTAACTCAAAAGGGAAATGGATCTAGTTTGATCCCTAAATTTACGCACTTAAAACTTTTTGTAAGCTCTCATATGATTTATCAATAAGTTGAGCTGTACATATTGATTTTACTTATAAGAAAAAATTAATTCATTTTATTTTTTTTAGGTTTCTCGTAAAAAATTATTGAAAAATGTGTTCTGTTACATAATTATCAAATCCAATTCTATATGGTCACTACAAATTTCTTGTCATTAAAAAATATTTATTCATAACATGCAACTGATAATGTTTGTAGATTCACAATTTTTTTGAGTGTATTTTTAGATTCAACTTTGCTTTAAGAATCAATGTAGAAATAAATTGCGTTTTGAGAATCAATGTTGAAATAAATTGTTTAACTTTCGATGGTTTTGATTTGTTTTACCCTTTCTCTTGAATGAAATAGGAAGAAAATAAAGAAATATGATAGAAATACCAAAATTTACTGTTCATTTGAGACAAGAAATATAGGAAGGAGAAAAGTTTTTTCTCAGAACCACCAGAATAAATTTACCTTCAAATTGACATGAATATGAGAAAATGAATACCTCTTTTGTACTTTATTTTAGTTTCTCAAAAATTAAATAATTTTTCATAACAAAAAAAAAACTTAAAAATAGTAAAAAAATTATGAAAAGAAAAAATAATGGTGTAAAAAGATTACTTTTTAATATCAGAATAATTTTCATATAATTTTTATTTTCCTTTGTAATTCAAAATTACTTTTCATATAATTATTTTATAATTATCTAGGTGAAGATAAACTTTTTTTAATACTTTTGTAACTTTTTATCCATTAAATAATATATTTTCTATTTATTTTTTTAATTCTTATTCAAATAAATTGATAAGATTTTTTTTTTAATTATAAGTCGATTATAGATCATTCAAAGTCTTTGTTCTAATTTGTTTTCAGAGGTTTTTAGTTAATCCATATTAATATCTTTGAATTAAGAAATCATACATCATTATTACATTAATACAATGGAAGAGTTTTTTTATTTTTTATTTTTTTATTTTTTTTATTTTTTTTTATTTTGTGATTCGATGAAAAGAAATATAATACCAATAGGTATAATTGTAGTTTGATAGAGGGTTTGCCTGACATCAGTCTTCTTAGAATAGAAATATGGTTTGGTATAATAGTTCAACTTAAAAAACTCTCCCTAATTAAATAAAACACATCAACAAAACTCTCTCTAATTAAATAAAACACATCAACAGATATTTAATGTTAAATGTATTACGTGGTAATATTGCAAAATGTTATTATTTTGATTCCATATCTTAACTCGTGTTTGGTAGAGTGAAATACAGGCTTGAGATATTCATAAATTCAATAAAATTCTAAAATTAAAAAAAAACCTAAAATAAAATGTCTTTTTATATAATCAGCCGATAAAATGTAGGTTGAGATATTCATAAGTTCAATACAATCCTAAAATTAAAAAATAAAAATAAAAACCTTAAAATAAAATATCTTTTATATAATCAATCGCGACCTATTTCTAACAAATAAAATATAATGAGCAAATGTAATCAGTTTACTTATAATATATTTAAATTGAGTTATAGATCTTAAAAAATAATAATGAATTGTGAAGCAGGGGATGTCACCTCATTTATTTTTTCTTTCATGCATAATGCAAGTTTTTTTT